ACAACTTGTGCACCATTCTCATAACTGAGGCCCTAGTGTTCAAGAAGGCATTAACAAGATCATTTCATAGTGGTAGCCTCTTTACAAAATGATAACATTATCTCTTGACTTAACCTTCTTTATCATGTATTTGTGTGGATGCATTGCGTTGAAAGGTGACTCTATGATACATGTTGTGACTTGTGTGTTTTGTTTATGTATGATGCATGTCCTGCCTAAGAGTCCTAATGTGTGATACATATAGCATGTTGTGGCAATATCTATATTCCTCCAGTTTCTACATTATTCTCGTGAGACTCCTGCACTTGGTCAAATGACCCGAGTGATTGTTGTGATGCTATGCAAGATTTAGGCATGACTTTTGGGCATTTTTTTTTTAATTGTGTGACCACTCTGTTTGCCAATAAAAAATCTTAGTTTATTGGTGAGAGGGTCTCCAAAGTCAACGTATTTTTATACTTATTCCAACTTAGACTATTCACAAATAGCTATGTGATGAAAACATGTGCGCTGAAATTGTTTAATCCAATGTAATGTCATTAAGACATTATCACTTTGAAATGTGTTTTATGAATTCTGAGATGTCATTTATGTGTGTTGTAAGTAATTTGTTTGACCAGATAGATTGTGCTTATCAATTTCATATGCCTGTGACTTGTCGGCTATTGGCTAGAGTATTCATGAATGTTTTTAAGTTAATGTGATGTGTGTCTACCTTATTTCCCTAAATGATGTATTTACCTAACTGATGAACTATTGTGAGAAGTATTAAAAACTTGACTAATTTAAGCCAATGTCATGTTATCAAGTCACAATATTTATTTTTAGGATGCTTTGAGTGACTATGAAAGTTGTGCAAGATTCTACGATGAAAGTGTTTTTTGAGAGTCGTGTGTCTTACATTTATGAGTGTGTGCCTAATCACGATAATAAACAAAGGTAAAACGTTAAATCATAATTTAAAATTTAGTTCTTTATCTATATTTTTATAAGTGTATATGAGAAACCCGTAATTCACGTAAGATTTTTTTGACTCTTCAATTTAGTAATTTGAATTCTAAATCAAACTTAGTTCACCGCATTATACTATAAACGCAAAATATAGTACACTAAACAATTTTCATGCTTATATACATAAGTTACAGTAGTATTTGCACCAATTTTTTTTAACTGTGCTTGATACTTTGATTTGTTTGCAACTCTTATTCTAGAATTAAATTATAGTTCTTCCATTTCAGTAATCTACATTTCAAATCCAACAAATTAAATTTTAATTTTGTATATTTACATAAAAATGCATCACATTTAAGTTCAAGTACGATATAAAAAGAGGATTGAATAGAGCTTGAAAACGGCAATGAAGATGATGTTCTGTCAATCGTTCAAGCATATCTTTTCGTAGAAACATCAAAAGGAAATAATTTAAGTTCCACATGAAAGAAAACTTAAAGGTCTACGATTCATATGAAGCCACCATGAAGAGAATCTGAGAGGAACAAGTTGAAAACAGATGATGAAGTCAGATAATCGCTGTTAAGATTTCGGGGATGCGACCTTCCACCATCTTGTCCATACCTTTTGTTTGGATGATCCAATACCAGTTTTGCAAGTTCTGGTGGATAGAGGACTTTATTAGCTACAACTTTGGTGAATAAAGCATAGTCAAATTCGGAAGGGAAATGTGCACGCCGTGTGCCCGAAGTACGCACACCGTGTGCGGAAGAGGAAATCACGGAGACCCTACTCGAGGCCGCGCATGCCGTGCGTGGTAGGTTGACACGCGTATTGCTCCGGATGCACGGACGCCATGCACGCCATGTGTGGGCGCCGTGCGTGCCCCTCTGCCTTTTCCGTTTGGGCCGGGATTCCACTGTTTTCTATTTATACAGCTTGTAAACCTCTGTTTTTTTATTATGGAGCTTATAAAGAGGCTTATGACGAAATCTTGAGTATTTTTTCGCTTCAATATTCAAGACCCTGAGATTATTTGTATGTTTTATTTTTTTTAATTAATGACAATTAATTCTTTTCTTCTCAATTCTGTTTTTTTAACCCGGAAGGCGAACCACCAAAATCAGTGGGTAAAATGCCGGGGAACATTTACCAGAGTTTTATTAAAATTAAAGATTATACATAATGAAAAAGGGGACCAAACCTTTTCAAAATACAACGAAATAAAGCAAGTGAAATAGATTGAGTGGGCTAGACCTGACCCAATCTATTAAAGAATTAAATGAAAATGAAAAATCATCAAGTTGGGGCCTGGGGGACTAAACCTTACCCAATTGATAAACAAGAAAAAAAGATCTAAAATCTTAAATAGGCCAGCCCAAACTTGTCGGCCCAATAAGCTTTGCGACAAGAGTTGTCCAATTGCTGAGTAGATCCAATTACTTTCAAGTTGTCCAAATTAGGAAAGCACCTGGAAATGTGGTGCGCTGTCCAATTAGCCTCCTGGAAAATATGAATTGTGATTTAGGAATAGTTTGAAATTATGAATTGTGAATAGTTTTAATTAGGGATTTGAGATTCATGAATGGGTTAATTATGATTTAGGATTAATTTCTTGTCTTCTTGTTGGTTTAATTGCATGATCATAATTTAATTTGTAATTGAATAATTTAATTGACATCTCTTGTAACCTAGAACTTCAACTAAGATTATAATTGCACATAGAATAAATTAATTGTGATCTAATTCATTCTAGGACACTTTCAAACACACTTAATCGTTCGCTAAGATATTAGTAATGATTACGGAGCCGTACGCCCACTCATTTTGGCAATAATTTAGAACCTTTTCGAATGAGAAATCAACCTGGTTTCCTAAACTAGTGTACTCTATACCACGAGAGATGTAAAAACTTAGTATTGATCAACGTTACTCAATTACATAATATTCATATGATTAAGCCTGATCAGCGCCGAAATCTGATTACCCCATAATCAATCCATGTTCCTTTCCGTCGTTAATTAGAAATAATCCTTTAATTTAGTTGCTTATTCGTAGTTAATTTTCCCAAAATCCAAATCTCACACAATTCCATTTTTTTTTTATTTTTATTGTTGAATTTATTTTATTCCTTATTCCCTTTTTTCGTCCCTGTAGAGACGATATTCGTACTCTAGTCCTATACTGCTACATATTTTTAGTGTGAGAAAATTCATATCAACAATTTTGAGTACTAAAGTATCATTCCACCTTCGTAAATTACATGGTACAGCCGGCTGTACCGTGGCACGGTACAGCCGGCCCTTTTTGGCTCTGGGCTTCTTCCTCGATCTTGCTCAGGCCTTCGATCGATCGATCTCGCTCAGCCTTCTTCCTCGATCGATCTCGCTCGGCCTTCTTCCTCGACTTCGCACCAGTCTCAAATGTCGTCTGGTTCTTCCATCTGCTTCGGACCACTTGTCTCTTTCTCTCCTAGGTAGTTGCCTCTCACAGCTGATCTCCTAGAATGGGCACAACAGATTTCCTCTGTCTTTCTTTTCACTCTTTTCTTTTTTCTCTTTTTCTTATTCAATTTTGGTGATTGAGATTGTGATTTTGGAAGACAAAGGGATCCTACTGCAGAAAAAGGAAGTCCCTACTACTATTGATCTTAAATGAGTTTTATAAAAAAACTCAAATGAGTATACACATTAAAAAAATGAACATACACAACTGAATATTAGACACATTAAAAATGAGTTTTATATTAAACTCAGATGAGTATACGTCTCAAAGAAATGAACATACACAACTAAATATTAAACACATTAAAAATGAGTTTTATGTTAAACTTAAATGAGTATAACGCCAAAATCAATGAGCATACACAAAATGAGATTTTGAATTTTTTGATACTCATTTTGTAAATTATGTATGTTCATTTGGTACTGCTTTATGCTCATTTTAAAATGATGCACATATCAAATATAACGCCCAAAATTAATGAGCATACACAAATGAGCTTTTAAATTTTTTGATACTCATTTTGTAAATTATGTATGCTCATTTGGTATTGCTTTATGCTCATTTTAAAATGATGCATACATTAAATATAACGCCCAAAATCAATGAGCATACACAAATGAAGTTTTGATTTTTTTGATAATCATTTTGTAAATTAAATATGCTCATTTGGTACTGGTTTATGTTCATTTGAAAATGATGCACATATCAAACATATCATACTACAATAGATTGACATATTGAAATTAATTTTAAACACAATTTAAGAATTTTTTAAAAACGGAAATTAATAAAAAGAAACTGAATTAGAAGGTATGAAGCAAAGACCACGGGTGCTCATAGTTAGGCTCTTAATTAGGGATGGACCCGGGCCGGGCCGGTTCCGGTTCCGGGCCGGGCCCGGGCGGGCTTTTTTTCGGGTTACATGGGCCCGGAACCGGCCCGGGTTGATACCGGGTCCGGGCCTAACCGGGCCGGGCCGGGCCGGGCCCGGTTCAATGTTTTTTTTTTTTTTTTTTTTTTTTGACTTTCTTGTTATCTCCCTACCCCCCCCCCCTCACCCCCACGCCCCAAACCTCCCTAAAACACCCAGCCCTACCCTAGGAAAAGAAAAAAAATTGAAAAAACCAAAAAAAAAAAAAAAAATGAACCGGGCCCGGCCCGAACCGCCCGGGCCGGTTCAACAAAAACAGGGCCCGGAACCGGCCCGCCCGACCCGCCAAAACGGGCTAAAAGCCCGGAACCGGCCAACCGGGCCCGGTCCGGTCCGGGCCCGCACAGTAGCGGGCCGGTCCGGTTCCGGGCCGGTTCGGCCCGGCCCAGTCCATCCCTACTCTTAATACTCAGAATAACAGACTCGATGCTCAATAAAATTACATCAATACTCATTTACGACAAATCGTGAACTTCATCAAAATTACAAAAATGCCACCGGCTGTACGGTGCCCAGCCGTACAGCCGGCTGTATGATATACGCTCCTTCCACCTTCTGCTACACGATTCTTCCAAACCACAATATACGAACTAGTTTTAAGAAACACACGAGGTCAGGTGAATGTTAACACATTTACACGCAAACAAATAAGACACATACACACATTTTATTCCTTACAATAATTTAATCCACACAATTATATTCTTAGTTCAAGTTTGAACACTTGAAAATCTACATTACAATCAGAGAATATTGTCACATCACAATTATCATCCAAATTCCGACCATCACTTATGAATAAACTACATAAGTTCAATTCTTATATATATCATCTGTTTTTTCAAATCTTTATCCTTACATTATAATTAACATGCGCCACATTACACAACTTAGGACACACATAGTGAGAAAATTATGAAGTATCTAATACGTCGATTGCGCCCATGCATGCATATTGCTCGTTCTGGAAGCTTAGTTAAAAGGTAACCTGGTCATCATCAACATAAAAAATTGTGCACAATTCAAATTGACATAAAAATATAATTTATGTACAAAAAATGTCATCCTATTTTCGATAAATTGAAATACACATTTGGGTTTCATATATATACTGCACATTTCTAAAATATAACACACCATTTTCATTTTCATTTGTCTTTTTAAATTGCTTTCTCATTTATTTTATCCAAATTCTATATGGATGCATACATATCTATTATATATACATAGATAGAATTTGGACAACACGAGAATATGATCCAAGGAGAGGAATGAGAATAAAAATGGACTGTTGGATTTGAAAATGTGCATTATCTGAAATTCATTTGTGTATTGATTGAAATCTAAAACATTTTTATAAATAAAGAGATCTTTTCAACTATTGCAAAATGTGCATAATCTTAACCGGAAATGTACGACTCCAGAAACAGGTATGTGCTTTTTTTTGCATTATTCTCATTTCTCAAGGGATTACCATAGTATATGCTCTTCAAAGTTCTAATATTACATGTTATATATGCGAGCAATGTTTGCATTCATACCCTAGTTTCAAGGATGTCTCAAAGCAATCGTCTTCAAGCAGTATGTGCCACTACTACAGGCGAAAGTTGCGGTGGTGGACTCCGATGATTGCCTGTCATTTATGCTTTCCATCTATCACATATTCACACATATAGTTCATTAGTTCGACGAGAATGCCTTAATAATGAGTAAACAAACTCAAAAATTTACTGGTTTAGTCTCGCAACTTCCAATTTTGCTTGTTATTATTAGTCATGTGAGTTTACTCGCTTACATGTTTGGTCCTATAAAGTAAAAAATTGTCTGTATTTAAACTTTTTCAACGAAAGTACAATAGAGATAATATAGAGATAAACTTTTTCTAGTGAAAAAACATATAGAGATAAACTCACCAATTTTAGCGTCAAAATTTTCGGCGGGAGAGTATACTTTGGTGGGAAAGTCTTTAATATGACCAAATATGAAAGCAAGTAAAGTTATAATATTAAAAGAAGGCGCAATTCAGTTACTCCGTAAAATATCCTCTCTGTTCTAGTTAGACCGTTCCTGAACACTAATTAAAAACAACCCTTAATTATATATGTTGTACAAATGTATAGCATTACTTTCATTGTCAAAAATAAAATTCAATACACAAAATTAAATGCTTTTGTTCATAAGTCATGCAAAAATGCAAGCTAAAAAGCATATAGAAAGAGTTTTCCAGAATTCCAAGTCTCAATTCGTACAACTAAATTCTAAATTTGTAGTTCATATATTTAACACTAAAATACAGTTTTAATTTGATTCATATATTTATATACTAGTCAATTTTAGTTAATCATAAATTACATGAGCTTGAGGCTCAAGGGGTCATCTGCTCGATAGATTAGTTAACCTCTATGAGAGGAAAATGCAAAAAGCAATGGATTACTAGATTAGCCAAGTCGCTAAGTGTCCCAGACCAAAAGCCTTACTGATTTATTTGATTGTTGCACTATTGCAACGGCCAACGGATGAGTGGAACAATTGAGCAAATAAACGAATTAAGAAAAATGAAGGTTGCAACGTGTAGACCGTAGATGACTAGAAGAAACTGCGGAGATAAATACGAATTACACAACAGTGGAGGAAGGATCAGATGCTTGGGAAGAGAATTTGGTATTGCCATCATCACCGATTAATCAAACCCAAAAATGTGGATAAAAACCTAAAAACTATGGATGTGGAAAATAATAAGGAGATGATTTTTTTTATTGATTCACATATATGGATCCATTATCTTATCTACAACTAATGTCATTACCTATCTCATGTTTTTAATTATTAATTTCCTCTTAAGTTCCAAATAGTAGTAGCCTATTCATTATGGCCATACATTTTCTTTCAAAGTCACAATATATATCTTACATATTAGGGCATTTATATTCCTTTTATTATCAATTTAATAATTGATATATTCAAAGATTTTAATAAAATAATTGTTGTTCATTGAATCCAACTATCTTTGTGGGGTAGGGAGTGCTACTAGTTGTCTCATTGACCCGACGATGCACCCATAGCTAGTAGCGGTGATCTTACCATCAACCCTGGTAAATGAGAATTTTGTAATATTGTGAGTTGCTTTTGTAACTATTCCTCCTGTAATCTAAAAATGGTGTTGACATATAAATTTGTCGTCTAACTGATACGTAGTATAATTTATTCAAGTCTTAAGTAGGCTTCTCAAAGTTTGGTATCTAAACACAATTTTTCAGTTTTGAGTTCTCATATTAAGTTTTACATCTAAATTAATTTTCTTTATGTGAAACATATGTCGTTTTGTGCGTGTTCCTTTTAGATGTAACATTAAATATTACTTTATTGTACGTGTTCCTTTTAGATGTAACATTAAATATTACTTTATTGTGCTTGTTACTTTTAGATGTAACATTAAATATTACTACAATTCTATTTTAATTCAACTCTTTATTATACCTTTTGCTTCAATCGTTGATTTTCTTCCATCAACTCAGTATCCTGCAGGATATATGAGGATGAGAATGCAAATCAAAAGTAAATAATTCTCTAATTGAAAAATATTGCAAGCTAAATGTGAATATCCTCAACCATTCAATACCGTACACTTCGTAGATTAGAAGTAAGGTGGTGATAACTATATGGCCACAAAGATGTACCTTTTTTAGGAAAGGGAGATAAGGATAAAACAACTAATCATGATTTTTTGTACTACAGTATGGTTGATGTTGATATTATCTTTTAGCTATTTTGTTACTTTTATTTAGAGATATACTTTTATTTATATATCATGAACACAACAACTTGGTTTCATAGTAATTACAAGGTAATACCAATATCAATAATATAATATCACTCAAAACATTAATAATTTATTTTATGTTCTTATCATTTCAATATTTACTTCACTTTTTAATTTGATACCAATAAATAAATTTACAAATTAATTTGTGCATGCATGCATCACTTACCTTTCTTTCAAGATTGGCAATCTCGGCCATAGTTCTTTTACCCTGAAACAAATATTTGAGTCAACTCAGAAATTATATCTTAATAAATAGATACTTACTACTATACATGCAAAAGTTTGTAAAAAAATTTAAAGTAGAAATGTTAAATGATAATAATATGCTACAAATTCTATTGTGTATATGCTATAACATATTAACATTGGTGTAGCAAGAATAGAATATTAGAGTAGACCAATAGATAACTATATACGTAGAATAAATTTTGCAAAGATATATAAAGTCTTATATAATTTAGGAAAGGGATTGGTCATGCATGGCATGGCCACCCAACTTTGATGCCCTTCTATTTTGATGGTGTAGTATGTTCTAAAATCTTTCATTCGCCACAAGACGGTTATGTAACCACTTACTTGAGAACTCACTTATAAATAAGGGCAATGATTTCATCTTAACAAGTACATCCCATGAGAGGACTCCCATACTTGTTAAATTTATCTCTCTCTACTTAGATATCGTGAGGCGAACCCTTAAAAGTTTTAATTAGGATAAGCCGGAGGTATTCAAAGATTTTCAAGGCGTAAAGGTAAACAATAGCTCTCTTTTTCTCGCTGGACTTTGTCAACTTTTGTTTTTATATGTCTAAAAAAAATTAGCTCACAATTTTTACTTTTCTACACAAACCCCAAGTTCACAATTTTTCTTTTTTCATACTCAACACAAAATTGATAATGTGCAACACGACAAAATAAAAATAATTCTAATGTAAACGATTAAACCTTAATCTCTATCACACGTGACAATTCATCTTCAAGCTTTTTCTCCAACTCATATAGTTCCTCAAAGCTTAATCCTTCAAGGTCCTCCTCCTTTAGGTTCCTGTTCAATTTAATTTAATTCATAATGAATGTTCACTTGAGATAATAAATTGGTTAATTTGTCCTTCCTTTTCTAAAATATACAGTCTTGTTTCGAACAATTTATTTACATAAAAACCTATGTGGATGAAATTTCAAAATTTGATTTTTTACATTTTCTTTCTCTAAAATAAGGAGTACAAACTCAGAGCAAAACCAAAGAGCTTAATATGAGATGATGGAAGATTAAATTTCTAAACAAATACGAAAATTTTAAGATAAAGTTAACTTAATAATTTGATATTTCACATAAATTTTTGAAAAGTACATTAATTATAATTTAAATACTTCAAAAGTTATACAAATATATTCAAACAAGATTACATGGGACCAGTGATGCAAGTAGTAACAACAAAATAAATTCATTCAATAAAATTTAACTAAACGTATGCAAGACGAATTGTGTAGTTTAAGTTTAGTTTATACCTTAGCTCATAAGCCATCATGTCTGCAACCTCCTTGGTTACTGCTCCATGAAGGCCTTCTTCTGCCTAATCACGTTAAGAAAGAGAATGTTCTAAAATTTAATTCGGAGTATATTATTGGATATCATTCATACATGCTAAAATTCTTGACTTCGTGGCAAGTTCTCCCCCCCACTCAAATCCATCAACAAAATGAATTATGTAGCAAATTTTTGGCACCTAAATTTTATGCTACTTTGAGGGTATTGTAGTTTGTTTGCGTGGATCAATTAAAATATTACTACCTCTTTCCGTTAAGATTGAGAGAACGCAAAATGATGCAGTTGTTAAGAAAATTAGAATTATGTGGTTTATAATAATGAATTAATAAAATAAAAATAAATTAAGAATGAATTATAGCCACTCAAATATTGCGATGACTCGACCAAAATGTCACCCTCTTTTATCTAACTTGATATTGCAATGACTTGACCAACATTTTAAAAGTGCAAAGACCAGCTATAAAGTGCACCAAGTTGAGTAAACTGTGACGATTAACAGTTTGCACATTAGAAGTAGTTTTTTTTCTTCAAAATTGCACCCTATCTAAGCATTGTTATAAGAAGCTCTCTTAGAATGAGGAGGTGTTGCACTTTAAGCAATGACAAAAACACACTTGTTTGAAATAGACAATGAGAACTTCGTAAATATATCAGTAGAATTTGTACAGATGAAAAAATTCAACACCTGCAGAGAAATACGGAGTATGTATCATAACACTATAAAAGTGATGTTTCTTATCTTACACATCAATCCTTTTTATTTGATCAACACCTATGTGTGTGTGAGATACCTCAAGTTCAAGAGAGGGCTGGCTTGATTCTCCAAGGTTGCTCGAGTGTAATTTGTACTTTTCGAGCACATCATTCATACTGTGGGTGAAAAGGGGAAATATAATATACATCATTTGACTCATTTTCTACTCCAAATGAAACACACATCATTTTCAATTATAGAAGTACTAGTAGCTCAAAGTATTGTACAATAAGGGAAAGAGTGGTGTTACTTGTACACATGAGTTGTACATATTTCTTATACACGTTTCCTAGTTGCCTATGTATAAAGCAGCTTCTGAACGAGCTGCTTGAGTACATAAGCAAACAAAGGAGGTGTACAAGAAATGTGTACAACTTATGTGTACTTATGTGTACAAATAGCATTTTTCTAATATATATATATATATATATATATATGTATGTATATAAGGGATGGTTCAAATACAAAGAGGTCTTCCCATGCAAAGTAAGAATTAATCTCATGCATTCATTTTTAGATCTAATGGCTCAAAATGAGCCAAAAGTGAACTGTATTTGATCAAAAACGCGGTGGCAATTTCGTAATTAAAGCGAAGTTTTTTGCCATCGAGAAAAAGTGCAGGAGAAACACGCAAAAGTGCAACGCGATGAAGAAAAAGTGCAACCGTTCGCACTTTGCACGGGAGAACCTCTTTTTATTTGATCTCTTCCCTATGTATGTATATATATATATATGTATATACATATATATATAGATGAGAGATCAAATACAAACCATGCTTAAAATACTAACCTACAAACTCAATAATATGCAACACTTTGAACTTCAATATGCAGTACAAATAATGTAAAAATGCGCACTGTGAACTTCAATATGCAATAGAAATAATATGCAATACTTTGAACTTCAATATGCAATACAAATAATATGCAACACTTTGAACTATAATATGCAGTACAAATAATGTGAAGATGCACAATTTGGAACAGTTTGTAGGTTAGCATGGGAGGACTAGTTTGTATGTGATCTCACCCCCATATATGTATATATATATATATATATATATATATATATATATATATATATATCTTTGTGTGTGTGTGTATATACATAGAGTACTCTTCCGGTCAGCTGGAATTCCTGACCGGAGCCGTCGTTCGGACGGCGGCGTTTGGCCGCCTTCCGGGTGGAATTTTTCGATGAAATTTCTATGACATGTTCTTCATCAAAATTAGACTTGATGGAGAACATGCCATAAAAATTTCATCAAAAAATGTCACCGGGAAGGCGGCCAAACGCCACCGTCCGGACGGTGGTTCCTGTCCGGAATTCCGGACATGAATAAAATTCTCTCTCTCTCTCTCTCTAAATATATATATATATATATATATAGAGAGAGAGAGAGAGTAGTCTTCCGGTCAGGTATACCTGACCGGAGCCCCGTCCGGCCTCCTCCATTTGGGGGCCTTCCCGGTGGTATTTTTTGCTCAAATTTTTTGTGTAGGAAGTCTAGTTCACCCATACCAAATTTCAACCAAAAATTCAATCGGGAAGGTCGTCAAATGATTTTTACAAGTTAACTGGTCTGAAATATGTATTTTACGGAAAAATGAAAAGAAAGTAAAATCAATTATACACTATTAAGAAAAGTCTTCAAGTAAAAATGAAAAAGAATTAGTGTGCACAACATTTACAAATAAAATTTTAACTTGCGAATACACTATATATAATTTACAAATAAACTCATGTGTTTAATTAATTTAAAAAATGTTTAAATTGGTATACACATACTCTCTAATTCATTGCTTGGAAGTGCATTTGTTTCTTCTTCTTTTATATTATGTTTTTGTATTGTATTACTATTATGTATAGTTTGATGTCATTTATTTTTTTGTTTTTATTTTCCAATTACTATTTTTTAATCAACAAAAATATTTTGGCAAAAACCGAAAAAACTGAACCGAACAAACTTTGGCTCCAATTTTTTTAACATAAAATTGAACCGAATCGAACTTTTTACTTTGATTCGGCATTTGATTTTAGGTGAAAACCGAACTGTTTGAACTTTGAACCGAACCCGCCCCTAGTAGCGGCCGCAATACGTATCGCAACGACCACATTATCCACAACCACACAATGGCCGTTACCGAAACCGTAATTTAAAATCATGGTACTTAATCAGATCATTAACATGATAATACTTACTAACATTAATGACAATATTTTTTAATCATGATAGTAATGTCTCCTGCTTAGGTAAGAAAAACATACTACTCATATTTTGAAATTCTAAAATGTTATTACTCCTATTTAAGAATCTTTCTAATATATATCTATATATTATACAATTGAAAGTCACATTCATGCCATGTGTCATTCTATTATTTACTCTTGCCACATGTCACTATACTATTTATTTAGTATTACCGTTTATCATAACTTTATTCATAAATGTATAGATGATAGGAAATGCTATAGAAAGACACTTGCCGTTACAATCTAATCATTTACCCACTTTCCATTTAAAGTTTTATTATAACCATTTAATAATTTCCATTTAGCCGTTTAGTATAATATATATAATCATAATAGTGTTATAGTTACCCGTTTATTATAATTAAGTATAGAAGATTCTATATAATAATTTATAAAGCAATGTAATTGTCATATTTTAGGAGCCTTTAAATATATTCATTTTATTTGTGAGGAATACGTAATTGGTATTAATTTATGAGGAATACCTATACTCTTTACTTCCAATTTTATGACATATTTGGATATCACATTGAAAATAGGTTAATTAAAAAAACTTACACCGAGATAATTGAGTCAAATTGAGTCAAAAGACCTTATTTTACATATCTATACTTTTTGTAAGAAAATAATTTATATGGAGAAGTTCAAAACATTAATCCTAACACTTAAGTTAATTATAATCTAATGTTATTATTATTGTGTATTATCAAATGTTAATTCATTATCACAAAATTATTAGTAAACTGATATCGTTTCTTTGAAAAAAAGTTGATATTGTTTCTTTTAAAAAATAAGTTGCTATTGGTTTTGTACCATCTCTGGAAATGAGATTAGTAGGAAATGCTCGAGATTATTAGAAATTGTCATTACTAATATGTTTGATTTTTAATGTCATTATCACACTTCAATTTTTCTAATATGTTTGATTTTTAATGTAATTACAATGTTCGACTTAAGATTCTAATTGAATTGAAAAATATCATGATTATTTAGAAAATGTCAAATACGATAATTCGTGTATATTTTGAAAAATGGTTTCAATGAGTATACAATTAATGAGGTTATTGATGAAAACTGGACTGTTATAGATATATTATTTTTAATATTGGGTGATTAAATTGTCATTTAAAAGTGATGAGAATCTTTAGCTGAACTGAGATGAGGGAGGATTTCGTTATTATTAAACAAAACTACATACTTTGTATGTTCTAATGCAAACTTTTAATTGGAATACAACAAAAATCTCAAATCACTTAGTGGGAACCAAACCCAAAGCCTCTTTCTTTTTAAACTGCTATAACTTTTTTTATAGTTAAGTTTTTACAAAAAAAAATCACAATTCATAACATCTTTCATTATTTGATATCAATATTGCATATATATAAATACAAATAAAAATGAAGACACAATAGGTTGAGGTTTTTTGACTCAGCACCTTCTACATACACTCAAGTTCAAAAATTAACATCTCATGATTGTATAACGCAATTTAATTTGCACAATTTTCAGCACAAATTAGCATCTCACGATTGCATAGGGAACATTTTATTTATTGACTGAAAGTGTGAATTAGGAGGCATTAAGTGGCACTAGCATTCCCTATTAGCAATAAATAAAATGTTCCCTTATTGCAGCATGAAAACGCGTTATACAATCTTGATATTTTATAGCCCGTTTGGTGACTCCTATATTTGGCTTATCAGTTTTATAAGTAATTTTTTCACCAAACACATAACTTTTTATTTCGCACACTAAATTTTATGATAATCAAAATAAGTGAGGTTCGACTACCATTCGAGTTACTCTTTTTGGCTGAAATTATTATAAATGAACATTTTGAGTATTTTTCATATAACTTTGTATGATGGTAAATAGTCCAAGATTATAAAATAGTGAATTTAATTTTATTAAGTTTAACCAAAACCCAAGAATGTTATTGAAAAAAATGTAACAATGTGTTCGAAATTTGCATCAAAACTAAAATTAATACTATGAATTTTAAGTGCTTCATTTACAATGAAAAATAATAATTTTTCGATTTAAAATTAAAGAGTTAATATTTTAACATAAAAATATATCTTTATTTTTAACTCTTTAATTTTTTTATTTTTCAATTTCAAAATTTAAATTTATAATTTATTTTTGTTATTTTTTGTGAAAATTTATTTTATTTATTTAAATTCAATTAGGGTCAATTTAATTTGCTCATTTATAAGAACATTAGGGGTATTTTTGCACTTTTTAGAAGTTCAGGTGTATGTATGTACCTCCACATATACTTCATGAGTATATTTGCACATTTCCCTTATTTTAAAATATCATATACAATGTCGCAAAATATTTTGAGTGAACACATTTCCTCTTATATATTGAAAATAAAACGTACAATGCCATGTGAGGTTAATTACACGCTTTCTATCATTACGTGAGACATTATTGTATCTTCATCTCAAGTCATTACTTAGCTTCCTACGTTACACATCAAAAAATTCATCGAAAGAGTTTCAAGCTATAAAACTCTAATGAAATTCTCACTCTCAAAGATTATCAAGAGGTTTTGTTCGACTAATATATTTGCAATATTAAGATGAGACACTAGGAGTAAGAATTTTAAGGCCATATGATGGGTAAAAATATTCGCATTTAGAGGCCGTTTGTCAACACTATTTTCAACTTTTGAGGCTTATCAGTCAACTTTTTCACCAAACACGTAATTTTTTCTTTCGACACTGAATTGTGTAATAAGCAGAAAAAGTAAGGTTGAAGTTTTCTGGCTGTATTGGCTGAAGTTACTGTAGATGATCATTTTAGCTATTTTTACATATAATTTTTTGTTTATTTTATTACTAAAATATATTTT